CAGATTTGTGATAAATCTGACAGATTTTTGATGTGCATTTAGCAGAATTTGGCTCTGACCTTACGGTCACCCTGCCCGGTAAATAGGCCAAAAATCCGTCCGCCAAACTCATGAATAAAAGTTATACATACAAATTATTCTGTTTTAGTGCGGTCTGAGAGCCATGGAATTGGGGGATTGAAGACATATGGCACTGCACCTCTGGCCTAGACTTGGAGCTTCCAATTCGGGGGCATTTTGGATGCAATTGGGTCCGCCCTTACAGAAATGTCCCATGAGCATCCCATGGGATTCCCATGGGGTCCCATGGGATTCCCATGGGACCCCATGGGAAACTCATGGGGTCATCAAGAACACCATGTAAGTTAAAATGATCATCATGGGAAACCCATGGGAACACCATGGAGATTGCATGGACAACATGAGAACACCATGGGGATTTTACGAGCTCCATGGGAACACCATGGGAACACCATGGGGATTTTATGAGCTCCATGGGAACACCATGGGGATTTTATGGACACCATGGGAACACCATGAGGATTTTATGGACATCATGGGAACACCATGTGGAATTAATGAACACCATGGGAACACCATGGGAATTTATGGACACCATGGGAACACCATGGGAACCCCATGGCGATTTTATGGACACCATGGGAACACCATGGGGATTTTATGGACACCATGGGAACACCATTGGGATTGTATGTCGCCATGGGACCACCATGGGGATTTACTGGACACCATAGGAACATCATGGGGATTTTAGACACATGGGTACACCATGAGGATATGGGGATTTTAGACACATGGGTACACCATGAGGATTCGGACGCCATGGGAACACCATAATGTGGGTGATATAAATTATGGATACAATGGGAACACCATGGAGATTTAAAAGGCAGCACGGGGACACTGCCGGGTTATACTGGAGAACATGCATGTGCCATGAAAAACCATCATAGACCCAATTGCACTCCCAAGTTATAGGCAAACCTTTCTTTGATTTAATTACTTATTCGCCTAGCTGTAAATTTGAATTCAATTAAAAATATTTCCCTTGTGGCCATAGAGGTTATCAAGAATTCTATTTGTTAAGCTGACCATGAGAAACTCCTGTGGATGTTGAACACAATGGGATAAACACCATGGGACACCATGGGAACACCATGGGACACCATGGGACCACCATGGGACCACCATGGGACATTTTTGTGAGAATCGCTTACAATAACGAGTGTTGTAATTGCACATTTTTGAATTTTTCTGTTGATAAGAGAAGTTAAATGATGCATACAGTATTTTTTTATGTGGAGAATGTGTCATTCAAACTTTGGATAATTTTGATTCATTTATTATTATGGTTGGAAACATTTATGAGAAAATAAATTGGGAACACTGTGATAATATGGTACAACCTGACAAGTGGTATGGGAGCAATAATGTTGAATGTAATCATAGAGTGCACAAGCCACTCCTATTACGTGGAACAACCCCCATCGGAGTTCCGTGATGTGCTTTACCTACTTGGTGAATAGTACTTAACACACAGGGCTAAAATGTATAGGAAATTGTTATTGAAATATACCATGGAGCAATAAATTTTTTGAGAAATGAAAGGAAACCAACATGGGAAAAAGCCCGGGGAAACTCCCATGGGAAAAATCCCATGCTACATGGTGTCCAATTCACCATGCAATTCCCATGGGGTCCCATGGGAAAATTTCCCACGGGAATTACATGGGAGATTTCTGTAAGGGCGAAAGTGGCGCTATAAAGCCATGGTGTTGGAAGGATCATTTTTCAAAACGACTGAAGAATTATTAACAAACAAAAGAAATATGGTCACAGATGTATTGCAATAAAATGCGTGCGACAGTTGCTTGATGCCAGTGGCGTAAAGCCCTGTCGGCGAGCCGGGGGGGGGGGGGGGGGAATTGACCAAAATCCTTAAATTACTCGGCTGTCGAAGTACAAGAAGTTGGGGTGGACACATCTTATGCAAATTTGAGAGTTTACGCTTAACCTTAACATCAAAACCTTGCATTTCGACTTTGTTCTCCATTTGTCAGTGCTGTATTACTAAGTCGGTCCGTTGGGAAGTTACAAAATCACCTTAAAATCTGCCATTTTTAAGCTCTGGCAAGGAGCTTCTAAGACACTTTGGTGTCGGTCGGTCGGTCGGTCGCCGAAATATTGACCAAAAATATTTAACAAAAATTGAGCAAATGTCATGCCGTCGTCCGTGAATGCACTCTAAAGTATTGTTTGTAACAATTCGTAAAGTTGTTCATGACAATTTTGTTAACGGAGGCAAGATATGTGAAGTAATGTTATAGTCACGTGGTATTTTCTGTAGTGGTTGGACGGTATCCAGAAGGTGGAAATGAACATTTACGAAAAGTATAGTGTTTCATAATGTGCCATCGGCGTCGCATTTTTCGCCATGACTTATTGTGCACTCGCACTTATTTATTTCTCGCTACAAAAAACTGGGGGAATGATCCAATGGCCAATCCCCCGGGTCAAAACGGGGGGAATCCCCCGGGATTTACGCCGTTGCTTGATGGAGTATTGCAGAAAAGTAGCGTGTAAAACAGAAAACAAAATCTGTTAATCTTCCAGTTCGGCGCAATTATTTGAATACCCATGCATCAGTTTGCGCAGATGTCCATAAAACACAGATATATCCACAAAAGAAACATGATGACCTGACTTCTAAGGGAGGATCAAAGATGAGTTGCCAGGGAGACCTGCTAAAATCCGAAACTCATTCAAGGATGTCAGAGATTTTGCTAAAGATAGAAGACGTAATTGTTCCACAACTAAACGCGGGCCGATTTCGTTCGATATCTCATTCAAAACTTGTGTATTGCTATAGAAAAAACAGGAATTTAAAAAAACAAGGGAATCTAATAGTCGGGGTGAAATTCGAAAATGTCACGGACTGTACATCTTTAAAATGAATTTATACAATCTCAATGCCGAGATTGGAGAGATGCTGCTGAAAAAAGAACAACATAAAAGTTGAAGCTTGTAATTGTGTCAAGATGAAGGAGTTGTCAACTACTATATATGGGGACCTGAAAAAATGCTGTGAGTACGGAAGACTTTTTTTACGATTGAAAACAATTATCCATTCCGTCACTATTTTGTACGGTTATTTCTATCGGTTATGTGCAAAAAATAATCACAGTGGTGGGATGTGGAAATGTAGGGCTGCACAAAAAAATATTTTCACAAACAAGTGTGTAATCTAATCGGCAATTTTCCCAAGCGCTATGCATACGTCTCCTTCACAAAGTTTCTAATGGTCACAAATTATGTTTTAAAAAATACATGAAAGACGATCTTTTCTTTTCCGGTCATAAAAGAAGTACTTCTACTAAGTAAAGTCTGTCACGAGCCAATGTGGCCCATCAGGCCGGCGTTTATCTCCGGTTTCAGTGGCATATTACTATTCCCCTTGGACGGGATGCTAGTCCATCGCAGGTTACTCCCCAGCTAATGCAAGTAAGTACCCATTTATACTCCTGGGTGGAGAGAGGCAAGTGGGATGAAGTGGCTTGCCCGAGGACTCAACATAATGGCCAGCAGCTGGAATCGAACCCTTGCCCTCTGATCATGAGTCACGAACCATAATCCTAGGCCGCACTGCCCCACTTGTCACTTCTAAAGACATCAAACTTTTTTAGCGGATAATGTACTTTATTGCATTAAAATGGACAATCCATGTATCAATACATGTACTACTGTCATTTATTTACAGATCGAACCACCTTTATTTTTCACAGGTTTAACTTTACAAGACCCCACATACTTGATATGTGTAAATATCCCATTTAGAAACCAACAAACTTTAGTAAGGCCAAAAAAAGTCTCCGGTTTCTGGTATGCGTGCGCTGTAGCCATGCGCGTCGGCAAAATGAAAAAGGTTTGTTGTTTTTTTCAATGAAAGATGATGTCTCAAAACAGCCAAACTCACTGGTTTGACTGGAATCCTGCTGCTGCATATTTTTTGGGTAGATGGGTTACGATCGAGAATAAGCTTTATGTGGCTTCTCTGGACTCCCATATTTTTGCACTAAGTTTAGTCGGGCACCATTTGCAGTCATCAGCCGACATTAATTTTGAAGAAAAAAAACCGTAAAAAAAAAGCCGCGTCGCCGCACCACTTTTTTTGGCAAGCTCCATACCAGAAACCGGAGACTTTTTTTGGCCTAAACAAAGAATTCATTACACATGAAAGTATAAATATCGAGGGATATATTGACAAAAGGGAAAGATTACAATCTTCCGACCAAAATAGGAAAAGTTTAATTTGTCTAAATTACATAAGGCGTTAAAATATGACATTTACAGCAGGGATCACAATATGCAACAAGCACCAGGCGAATCATTAATTGCTTATATTAAGAAAAGAACAAAAAATACGTTGAAAAAAATCCTGAAGTATAAACTGATTTGTTTGGGCGCTAAATTTCACCACGATTGCATGCAAAACCTACGTGAAGTGGCGTTACTATTAGGAGGCGGGGCGGTGCGTGGGGACACGCCCCCTTGTTCGAGGACAGTCCCCCCCCCCCCCATTTCTCTCTCAGCATTTGCACGGAAGAGGCCAAAAAAAAACTTTTTTCGTTAAAAACCATTGAGTGCCCCTTCTGGAAATAATGTCCCCTATTTGGCCCTCCCCCCTCCCCCCCCCCCCCCCAAAAAAAAAACTTGGACTCAGTTATGCTTCTGGTTTGAAGATAATTTATAATATTTATACTAAAACGTTCAGTCTGACATGCGTGGGATATTATAATTGCAAAATGGCACTCGATTCAGTCTGACGTTTCACAGTCGCGCCGATCTTAATTATTCCGAAGAAAAGAAATATATTCGCTGTTTGAACTCCATGCGAAATATGGACTTTTGCAGTCGATCCCAACGACTCCTGAGTCAAATCATTGTAAAAAAAATAACAAGAAAAACATTTTAAAAAAACAGATCATAAATTTCACCTGTTTGAAACCCAGTTTTATCTGGGTCGACTTCAGTCCCTCTCAATACATATTAGCTCAGCGCAGCTCTGAAACGCCTGTCTGAAACGGTTTTTGCTTTTCTAGTTTTTAATCACTTATTTATTGCTCAAACAAAGCACCAAATGTTTACCTCACTGACCCATCCATTATAAATTTCATGACATAATTTACACGCCATCAAAACCTTGGCACCGTGGAGTTAAAGAAAGACCAGCAAATAAAATGAAGTAATAAGTGAGCCATCTAAAAGATGTGTTCACCTCGAAAACTAGATTTGTTTTCAATGCTATTTTCCCAGCAATATGAAAGTTATTGAGACATAGAACGAAAAAAACAATCCACAAATGTTTAGTTATTGAATTATTTCTTCACAAAAGTCGAATTATTGGCTGCCAGACAACAATTCGGCTCCATTATAGGGCGCATTCATTTTGTGCGCAAAATTAAGCGCCTTTTCAGAAGGTTAATTTTGCAGACGCCCAAAATCGGAATTAAGAAGGTTTTTTACGTTAAAAACAAAACATAGAAGTTAAACAATTTTTAGGAAAAAATTGACGAGCAACTTTAATAAGTAATTTTTCAAACAAAGCACCAACATGTTTGCCTCACCGAACCAGCCGCCATTGAATTACATAATTTACACGCTATTTATACACTTTGCACAGTGGCATTATAAAAAAAAAAGACCAGCCACAAATGAAGTAATCAGTGAGCCAAGTTCCCAGTAACGCGCGAGAGAGTCTGTGTCTTCCAAGTGCATCCTCGTTTCCATTCCAATAGACCCCTTGCACAGAGCGCCCCCACTGGGGACAGGTTTTGTTACTTGTGACACAGCGGAACAAAGGAACAAAGTCAATGCCTTCAGTACGTGAGGTCGCTTTATGCAAGGGCAGAATAATGGCGATTTGGTATAGACCTTGCGCGTTGAGGCGGAGTTAAAGGGCAATTGTTTTGTATCGCTATAGAATAGGCATGAGATTGTGCATTGATTAGTTGTTTATTAATTAATTGAAATAAAGAATACCCTCTGAGACACCCGCAACGCATAAGGTCTAACCGGTCCGTTAGTGTGACGTCACTTCAGTTTAAACCACGCCCACTGCAAATTAAGCAGCATTGGAACCACTGGAACCGGAAGTTAAACGCAACTTCAGTGTTTATCCAATGGGCGCTAGTAATCAGTGTTGCGCGCGCGTGTATGACAACATAGACACTAACGAACCAGATAGGGAGATCCTAATGTCTTTGACTTCTGAGCAAAAGCTTTACAGTGGAAAACAAAACTTGTCCTCACTGAGGGCGCTCTATGCAAGGGCTCCAGACTATCGCGATTCCGCACAGGGAGCTAAGGTTAACTTCTGCACGATAGCTTTATTATGTAGGCTATATCATGTTTGGACTCCGGGGATGCATGCTGACGTAGCGGCGCATTTCTCAACATGTCCTAGCTTCTCTTTGCTGCATCCTTGACTGTATAGTCTCCATTTCAAAGCCAGTCTGAATTGGTTTGCTGTGGACCCAATTGCGCCTGCATTGTGTCCGTCAGTGTTCTAAGATGGCGGATGAGCCTAGCTGCAGCTCAAGACCAGAATCAGATGTTATCCAGAACTTAAAAATTATCCCGATTTGTACAGCAGTATGGCCACCTGTCCCATGTAGAAATAGATGAAGTTCTTGGTCTCGTGTGTGACGTAACTGCCGAAGTTTCTACCCACGATGCAGTGCCAGGTGGTGGTGTACTTCTTGTCGAACTCTTTCTTGATGAAAGCAGCGATGTCTTTCTCGATGTTGAACCTTTCCATGGCCTGTGTAGCGCAGTCCACGGCGTCGGACTGCATGTCGTCAGGCATGTCTGCGTTCTTGATCACGGCCTTCTTCTCGGCCGTTGATTTGGATGAAATTCCGTACATTTTGGGTCTGCATTTGGGAATCAGAAAAACAAACACACATCATTAAAACGACAGTTTCGTTGCCTTTTTGTTACTTCGTCTAGCTCGGTCGGAATTCAAATCTATAATGGCGTCGCTACAGAGATAGTAACACACCTCCATTATTTGGTCGTTTTTGTCGTCCAAATCCTGAGGCTTGTCAGTTCGTGGTGTCGCGGTGACGAATTCCTCGCCATATTGTCAGTACACCCAAAAGAAATACTCGCATAAGTGGTGAAGAATCCTTTAAAAAAAATCCTGGATCCAGACCCAGATCCGGATCACTTCCAAAATCTAATCGATTTGTACTTGTAACAAGGACCATCCGTAAAAAAAATGTCACGCACTGCCGGCAACCATAATTTTTGGAGTTATCTTGTTAACAGACCACATCCAACCAACCAACGCCGATGAAAACATAACCTCCTTGGCGGAGGTAATTACCCGGAACGGACCTACCGTTTTAACGAGAAAATCCTTGCGCATGGGACTTGTACCAATTAACCCTTTGAAATTATGCCGCCTGAAATCATTCGGAAGAAACAATCCTTGAAGTTGACTTAAGAAAATGAGCCCGTGTTTATATGGGCATATTTTTTACGTGCCTTAGCGCCGGGGTCCGTGCATAAGTCCGACGCCTCATAGGTCCGACGCCTCATACGTCCGACAAAATCTCATCACCAACCGAATAAAGGCCCATAAGTCCGACGCCTCATAATTCCGAAATTTCGGACTAATGAGGCGTAGGACTTACGATACGGCCCCGCGTTAAGCAACGGAATTCAGTTACGAGACCCAAAAAATGGTGCAGACGTTTTCTCGGTTTTTTCCCGTGTGCTGTATCCACTGAGCCGAACCTTCAACAAGTCCGCTTTGACCAACAAAAAAAGTTCGCGTATTTTATTTTGTGCCCCGTTAACAATAATTATGAAGTTGTACAATCAGTGCCAATTAAAGAAATACTTTCCGTTTCGGTAGAATGCACAAGTACATGTGATATCAAAAGGCCGGGGCACAGTGGAGCGGCACGACTGCTACCGCGATAGAAGTACTCTGTTGCTCAATGCCCGGGATATGTAGGCCTATATACTGTTGCTTGTATACTACCATGTAGTATCGATTCACCGATAGCCAATATAAGCTGAAGGATTATGATCAAAATGAAACAAATCAGAGTTGGAAATGACAAAATCGGGACTTTGTAACTTTGGGGGGGGGGGTTACTGTTTGAAAAGAAGTGGAAAGTATTTAGTTCATCATTGGTTTCATTACGAAGCCCCTGACATAATGTTAAACTCGTTACATCTAAGTCATGTATTCATTTGCCCAAAAGTAGAAAAACACATGTACGAGACTTAAACTAACAAACACATTATTGAATGCATCAGTTTTAATTCAATGTCCTTGAATTGCTTTCTGTGAACTCGAAACAATGCAGATAGGAGCATACAGCATCACGCACGCACTTTTGATTCATGCAGACACAAACGTTCATCTAAAGAACTATCGCAAGCTCGAGGTGACATAAGCCCACGTGCAATGTCGCCATTGTCATGATTGTGTCGGTCAGATCATTTTGTCCATACTGATGCCGAGATTTCTCGTAAAAAAGTCGTAATTGATGTGATGCCTTCCACCTTGTTGACCTCGACATACCCGGTATAAAAACAGTTTTATTCAATTATAAGTTTCGTACGATGTGATAAGTAAATATAATGCATCAATATCGAATAGCACGATTCGTGGTTTTTAAAGCGCAATTTGGGTTAAACTCACCTTGTATTAACGGCCGATATCAGAAAATAAAAGTACAGCACCTTTGCAGGAATATTGAATTGTAACTGTAACGAGGGAGTTGAGAGGAATGCTGTAACAGCTCAACCGTGAGAAAAGTAATTTGATTGGTTAACAGTTGACAACTCGGTAACTGTTGTTCGGTAACTTGTTTCGGTAGATGTACGTTGAACCCTTTCTGGAATGCACGGTTATTGTTATCGCGCACAGGTGCGGGTCCGGCCATTATAACCGTAAGCCTTTACTTTGTTGTACTGCACCATACCAGTGAATATCGGCCTACTTACAAAGCTTTTTTTACCTCCAAGTCACGGAACCAAAACAGACGTGGGCCGACAGTACAACTTAAGCCTACCTAGTGTACCCGAACCCCCGGGATTGGGATGTGTACAAAAACACGTCTGTCGCTATTGGCTAGGGGACATTATTTGTTGGTGTGTTATTGGTGGAATTATTAAAAGGTCATCCGGTAGCTTGCCATTGGCATGGTGCAGTTTAGTTGAAGGCTGTGAAAGTATCGAGGATGAAATTGCTCTTAAATCCCTTTCACTTTTTCCCAGCTTTGACAAACAAAATGTGTAGGCTAAATCGTAAGGAGCCCCAAGTGACATTACTCCACAACCGTACATTTCTCTTAAAATTATAATAACCAACGAAATGTAAACTTTGTTCAAGATATGCAGGAACAGCTGGTGTATGTCTATTGTTTTTACTCAAAAGTCGAAATTCGGCTTGACATCGATTTATTCACGTCATTATTGTTATAAATCAAGGGCGCCACCTTGAATTCAGGTTCAGGTTTTGTAGGGGGCGAGTTGGCCGGGGCGAGTTAGTAAGGGACGTAAAATTGGCCGATAACCGGGAAAAAAGCTAGTTGAGCGATTTGACTATCACTCCAATGTGAGCTACATTGTGTCTATTTTAACATACATTTTTTTCCGACGCCGAGTATATTCAATTCAATTGCTGAACATTTATTTCAACGTTGTTATGTCACTAAAAATATTAAATCGTTATGTTAACAAGCATACAAAATATAATACGAAGTAATTTTACACAACACCGTTATTAACATAATGAAAATATATGCATAATCCACATAACAACACGGGGATAGGGTGAAGCGATCGCTTTTGTTCCTTGACCTGTTGCGACACTTACAGACTGACAGACAATTAAGTACGAACTAAGGACAATGACAGACAAACAAACAAACAGGAGTATCATTAAGCTATTGTTGTATGTTTACAAAGTATCAACAGACTACGAATAAAATGTAAGAAGTTGTGTTTTTAATTTTTTGGTAAATGTAGATAGAGTTAAAGACGTTTTAAGAGGGATACTTAGACTATTCCAGATACTCGTGCCACGTTGAACTATTCCATTTTTGAACACTGTCGTTCTATTGAAGCCAACATGAAGATTTTTCTTTGCGATACTCCTGGTTTTATAACAATGAACATTTGAAGTTAAAGTAAAACATGATCTAAAACACAAAGGGAGCAAATTATTCATATATTTGTACATGAATTTACCGAGATTGAGACAATAAAGATCATTAAATTGCAATAATTTAAGATTGGCAAATAATGGTGTGGTATGATCTCGATAACCAGCATTGGAAATTATTCGAACAGCTCGTTTTTGTAAGATAAGAAGTTTATCACACGATGACGACCCACCCCAGATGATATTGGAATAGTTTAAGTATGGCAGAACAAGTGAATTATACAGAGTTTTTATGATATTTTGGGGTAAGAAAAATCTCAGACGATTCATTATGCCAATAGTTTTAGATATTTTGCTGACCACGTCATCAACGTGGTTATTCCATGTTAGATTTTCATCAATAATAACACCTAGGAATTTAGTCTTGTTTACTTTTTCAAGGCTAATGTCATTTATGACTAAAGGAATCGTTTGAGTGTATTTCTTCTGTCTCGGGCAAAATACAATATAATGTGATTTAAGAACATTAATACACAGTTTGTTTGCTAGCAGCCAAGTGCTTATCTTTACAAGTTCACCATTAAGAATATTAACAGCTGTATCCACACTATTATGACTGTACATTCGACTTTTGTCGTCTGCAAATAAAGAAAATGACATAATGTCAGATGTGTTACATATGTCGTTTATATAAATAAGAAATAAGTAAGTATACTAAGTATACTCGGGACCAAGTTGATAACTCAGACCAAGTTGGGTTAGGACCGAGTTGGTACACACACAAAATTGAAGCACAACGTTAGAAGATTGAACGGGGTCCGCTCATAAGTCCGACGCCTCATAGGTCCGACGCTTCATAAGTCCGACAAAATCGCATCCCCTAACCAAATAAAGGCCCATAAGTCCGACGCCGTATAGGTCCGACGCCTCATGAGTCCGACGCCTCATTGGTCCGACGCCTCAAAAGTCCGACGCCTCATAGGTCCGACACCTCACAGCTCCGACGCCTCATAGCTCCGACGCCTCGTAAGTCCGACAAATTTAACGCCCGTTTTTCCGACGTCGGACTTATGAGGCGTCGGACTTATGAGGCGTCGGACCTTTGAGGCGGAATAAATTAATTCTATGCCTCATAGGTCCGACGCCTCATACGTCCGAAATTTCGGACTTATGAGGCGTCGGCACTATGAGGCGTCGGACTTATGATACGGCCCCGATTGAACCATGACGTTTGAAAAATGAACACGACGTTTGAAAGTTGAACCACGACGTTTGACAGTCTAGTAATTGAACCACGACGTTTGCGTGTTCGTTTTGGAACATTATGTCCGTTTTAGAACGCCATAAAAATATACTCTCTCGGATACCTGCAACGTAAATTTATAAGGTATATTAAACCTCTCAAGACTCTTGGGGGTGGGTCGGAGCGAGGGGTTTTCCTTTGATATTGTCAAATAATGAATATTTATGAAGTGCCCGTGACTTTTAATACGCGTGCGTACATTATGTCATTGCCTCTAACTGCTTTGCGTGTCAATTTGGAAAGCGTCTCTGGACGTAATGTAATTTTAAAAAGTTATGCAAGATCGCATCCAATACATTTCCGAGTCATTCCATTAAAGATGGTATATAAGGCCAACGTAATCGACGGAGCCATCACAATTGGACTAGCATTGAGTCTATACCAATTGCAACTCGTGAGGGAATACACATGTTACTCAATAATGTCAGTGACAATGACACTCGACTACTGACATTTTGGTTTCATCTCTGCAGACGATCTGCAGATACTACTCTAGATGTTTCGTCTTTGGCTCATAATGGCTAAAGAGTTTTTGCTTCTTAGTTGATTCCACAGTGTATCCGAGAAGACTCTTTCCAAACATGGAGCCGATTATTTCTCTCCGTATCACCAAGACCACCGTGGGCCTGATTGGTATAATAGGCAATGGTCTCGTCTGCATTGTCATTTATTTTGCCAAGTCCATGCACACCATTACCAACCTGTTTATCTTCAACCAAGCCATCGTGGATTTCCTCGGTTGTTTGTTGCTGATTCTCGGCAGTAACGTCCCGGTGCCCGACCCCTTGCCTCCCGGTCCGGCCGGCGCCTTCTTGTGCCGGGTCTGGATATCGGACGCCCTCCTTTGGCTGTCGTACTCTGCTTCTACCTTCAGCCTGGTAATGCTTACATTCGAGCGATACTTCGCCATCGTTTACCCGTTCAGATACCGGGCGATGTTTGCTCACGAGCGCCTAGTGCCAGGGGTGATGATCGCGGCGTCTTGGATGATTGGGGTCTTGGTGGCTATATACGGCGGTGCCATTTTTGCTCCGGTGGACGACCACTGCGTCCCCGTGAACATCCCCGGGGCTAGCGTGCTGGGCCTCCTCATCATCTGCCTGCAGTATGCGCTCCCTCTCGTCTTCATGGTCTTTGCTTATGTAAGTATCATCCTGGAGTTGAGGCGGAGCTCAGCACGCGTCGGTGCCTTCGTGCCAAGTCAGGCTACCACGGGGGAGACATCCTCAAATCCTGACCCCAACCGGGTGCTGGAGCCTCGTCTACCGCACGACCCACTCCGTCGCGCCCGGCTCAACACCATGGCCACCCTGGTGATCATCGCAGGGGCTTATGTGGTTTGCTGGACACCCAACGAGGTCATCTTCTTCCTCTTCAATCTTGGTTGGCAACTGGACTTCTCCAGTCCCCTATACGTCGTATCAGTCGCTCTAGTTGCCATCAACTCGTGTGTCAACCCACTCATCTACGCCATCAAATACAAGCAGTTCAAGCGGGCCATGAAGATGCTGTTTCGGCGCGAGTCGGAGCTTTCCCATGCGACCATGGAGACAGAGATGAACCCATGATTATTCCACTCTTTACGCACAAGCACAGGCTAAAAACAACTCCAACTCGCAATTTCCAATATCCATCAATATAAAATAACTACTTATATGCTTAATATGGGCTGCTTAAATCTGACATATTGAAAACTGGCTCTTTCGTTTATGACTTCATTGCACGGATCTAAATTAGTACATCCACAAAATTTCGAGGACTGCAGTTTTAATGATCAGTTATTTTAAACATACCAAACGTATTTTAATGCAATGTTAAAAGCAGAATAAGTCTCTCATTAACATGATCAAACCCTGTGCATATAAACAAGATAAAAAAACTTTGTTTTCAAAATCAAATTTGTGTAACTTTGCACTTGATATGCGAGCAAATCACTTAAATGTGTATATTAATCTTTGTAGAATAAGGGATTGTGTCAAGTGTGTTATTAATTTTAAAAATTCATGTATCAAAGTACTGGCAGCAATGTATGCTTTCTTCATCTATACAAATTGTTCGCCGAATGTAAAATTGTGTGTAAATGTTGTTATGGTATGCATGCAGTGAATTTATTCTCTAGCAATTTAATTTGGAGCATTATGCTAGATTGATATCAGTCCCTGATAAAACTGATTATAACAACCACGCTGACAGAATGTTAGTGGTTGCCATGGTAATAGAACATATCATACGATATCCAACTACGTAGCTTAATGGTCGGATCGTTTAATAGCTCACATTGCTACGTGCTATAGATATTCATAGTAATCATCAAAGCACTTTCTTTAATTATGGTATACGTGCTTTTTCAAAATGTCGATTTTCTTTTCCGAACGAAATTTGAAGGAATATAATGTCCTGTAACAAATAAATTTGCTTGTTGGCATTTGCAGGTCTTTATACAGTTTTAAAAAGTGGTTTTAATAACGTTGCGCTATATGGCGCGCTCAAGTTTAGAAAGTTTTGAGCGAAAGCTATAAATAATCATATTTAGTGACGTAGTAATCTAATATGCACATGCGCTTGGCCGGTTTTTAAACAGGTAGGCCTACGTTCGGCGAGGGTCATTATCCGTGACCAGCAGGCCCCTAGCCGGTTTTAAACGTACTTGTTTAATACCGGCCAAGCACTATTAGTACAGCTTATAGCATCAATATAACATTGGTATACCGGTGCCTAGGGCTAGTATAGGGCCTACGGAACACTGGTGCCTAGGGCCTACGGAACACTATGCGCAGATCGCAGCGGCGGTGTTTTACCGGCGGTTTAAAACACCCACGCAAAGTGCTCTCAACCAATAGGAATGGGTAAACTGTCTCCTTTATCTTTATCTTTACCTATAGGCGTCGTCTATCCACTGCAGGATGTAGCCCTCTGCTAGACCCCTCCGGGTTGTTCTTTCCTTTGCTGTCCTTGTCCATGTCCCCCCCCCCCCTCAACTTTGATATGTCATCTCTCCATCTTTTATGTGGTATGCCTCTAGATCTTTTTCCTGTTCTGGGTTGTCATTCTGTTGTTCTTATTGTCCATCTGTTGTCTGTCATCCTGGTCATATGTCCTGCCCATTTCCATTTCGTTGTGTTGACTTCTTTGGCGATGTCTTTTACTTTGTTTTTTTCCCCGACTATTTTATTGGGTATCCGGTCATGGTGTGTAAGTTACAGCATCTTTCCTTCCATTGCTCTCTGGGTGGTCGACAATTTATTGTATTTGCGTGGTAACTGTCCATGCTTGGCATCCATAAGTAATTGTTGTAAGTATTGCATTGGTCGAATGCTCTGTTCTTCAATGATATTGGTAGTTTTCTGGCATAAGATTTCTTTATATCTTCCGAATAGACCCCATCCTGGCTTTATTAGTGTGAGTATTCTTCTTTAGTTGTGTCTTGCATCGTTAGGGTTTGACCGAGGTATTTGTATTCCTTTACTTTTTCTTTTATTTCATTCTCAAATTTGACATTGACTCGAGAATCAATATTTGTCATAAACTGTCTCACATAATAATAATTAACAAGTAGAGAAATGGAAAACAACCATTTTTAAATTGATGATGTAGTCTGCTCGTTCCTTTCCTTCCACATTTTTCTAGCAAGAAGTTATTCATTTTTGAATGAGTCATCGACTGAAGACATTTTATTGTAAGTTATTGGATTATAACTTTACAATTCCGAATTATTGGCTGCCAGACAATAATAATTCCGTTCTCGCAGGGTAGGTTGGTCCCCGCCCCACAATCAGTATTCGATGATTTACGGACCGGGAGCCAGTCTGCTCGCAAGACGGATGTTTGTGCCCAAAACAAAAACCCTCTTTTTAGAGTGTTGCAGACGTCCCAATAAAGCATTGGAATAAAACATAAATGTTGAAAATCGATTTTGTTGAAGAGCAATGTGAATGCAACCGAAAGAAAAGAAAAGATAAACCTATCGGCCGTCCCTTCCGATCGATGCATCTTTCGGGAGTTTTATATTGACAGTGCGTGGACTTTATTATTGACCACAGGAAAAGCCTTCCTCACATTTACCTGACCACGTATTTGCATAGTATAGCATATAGTCTAATTAAGGAGTATGGGTAAACAAACAAATTCAACTTGACGACGTCGTCGAAACTCAGCGTCGACGAGCACCATTAACTCCAAATTTTGCAAAGGGGTTTTTGATTGTTTTCCGTCAATGCTTGAAGACCAATAATGACGTTTCGGAAATGGCTGTGGAGAGACTCAGGATAACGCCTTTCACGCGCTGCAGCAAAAAAAAATGGGGTTCTTTCGCAAAACGGTTTATAGCATATAGTTTGACCATGGAGTGTCTTAGACTACCGCCGAAGCTTGCTCGCCCCAAGTTACTAGACACTATACGCTAGAAATTTCGCAAAAACGGTTTATATGCTATAAACCGTTTTGTGAAAGAACCCGATTTTTTTTTTTTGGCTGCAGCGCGTGAAAGGCAGCATACCGAGTCTCATTCACCCATTTCCGAAACGTCATTATTGGTCTTCAAGCATTGTTAAAGCATAAGTCCTCCTGCAAATTGCCTGATTTCAGACTGTTCTTACAATGTGAATAACATACATGTAATGACACCATGTGTGTACATCGTATACTTTTCCTTTATTTATGTATCTCCAGTTTCCGGCAAAAATGTCAGTGTCTACTTGCATGTACACATATACATACCGGTACCAGTACATATTCCTGTTTTGAATGCATAAATTACTGAATTGTTAGGAAGCTTCTAAGTTTCTTGGTGAGGAAACATTGAATAATCGTAAAGTGCGCAATCTTTCATTCAATGTAACAGAGACTAGTCTATGAGACTTGAGATGTTGGCTTAATATCTGAAGAAAGTTGCCAAAATGTTCAAATTCAGAGTCACTAGTAGAAAGTAGTAGAAAGTGAAAACTGCATTTTTATTCATACAAAAAAATGTTCCAGTTTGGTATTTTTAGATATGACCCATCTCTGTTTTGGGCTCTCTGCACTTTTGTGAGTCTGAAGTGTAGGCGGTGTAGTTTGGCTCAACTTTCACTTTTGGTCTTCAAGCATTGTTAAAGCCTGACCTCCTCCGGCTAAAATGTCTCAGAAATCGATTGTAAAAATAGACCATTTTAGGAAAAGACCTTGTGGAGATCTCACAAACGCATCTAGGCCTACACATAGCTTCATCTTGCAGGTTTTCGCACGAACCTGATCGCGCGCGCCCGCCTCAAAAGTCGAACATTGTTAAGACATTTTCACGCCTGCAATTAGATCACGTTTGCAAGAAGAAGTCATTATGTCTACTGTCGTGGAAATAATTGATTTAAACGCAGAGCAGAAATTCCTCTTGGCTCCACCGTAGATGTCAGGGTTACAAGGCGTACAAAGACTGACATGCGCTTATCACGGGGGGGGGGGGAATCGCAATTAAGTTCCCCATGCAAAGTTTTTCATTAAATCGCAAGTTTCTCAAGCACGTTAAACAAGCTCCGCGCCTTCTTAAAGGCAGTTTTCGAGTTGAATCGAGCGTCTTACGTTTCGTTGCATGTACAAAAGTTTTTGTCTTCTGTCACTGACGTACTGCACATCAATAATTTGATTGCGAATTCAGCAAAATTGAGAATGGAAGGCATTACTCATGAAAATTAAATTATAAAATTGACTTCCGAATTGCCATTGATTCCGGTGCTCTACCAACTGAGTTATGCTGGCATGTTCCACAGTTTGTCGATGTCTTTGTTCAAGGGGTGCTAGTCAGACGCCATAAATTACTCATTCTACTCATCAAAAAAATTCATTCCGCAGTCCCCCGGCCTTTATCACAATATCAATACAAAACAAAAGGAACCAAGACAAAATAAATATCACTGATAATTCTTGTTTTGACTGAAAATCGAACAAACGAAGAAAATTTCAAACAATAAAATGTCCTGAAATTCATATGTATGGCAATTAGGAGATTATGCAGAGTCACATGTATATTAACACCACCACTTCTAAGGGCCAACAATACCACATAACAAAAGTACAATGAAGTATTAACTTGTTATACACAATAAATAATACACAAAATTGTTGTGCATGATCATAGACCCTTGAATACGACGTTTGAGAAGTTGAACTGCGACGTTTGCAAAATTGAACCACGACGTTTGGAAGTTGACGTACGATGTCTGAGAAAAGTTAAAGTACGACGTTTGAAAAGTTAAACTACCGCGACGTTTGAAAAAACAATTGAACCACGACGTTTATTCAAACATTTTGAAATTTATGTTAGATCGACATCAGTCCCTGATAAAACCAACTTTGCGATGATTATAGTACCCAGGCTGACAGATGTAAGTGGTTGTCATGGCAATAGAAATATAATCACGCGATATCCAACTAATATGGCCAATATTCCTGCGTGATAGACACAGTAATCATCAAAGTACTTTTCTTAATAATTAACCATGAAAAGAAGTGAAACGACAGTTTTTAATCAGTTCTGCACACCAAGTGCATAGTCTAATCATTGCTTCCCTTCCGCAGGTTTGTGCAATATTAAACA